AATTATTTATATTACACTTAAATCTAATAAAAATCTTATACTATAATTGTAATTATCACATTGATTTTTTTATAAGTTTGAACATAATTCTAAAATTTAATAAGAGCCAATGAAGTTAGTTCTTAATTGGAACTAAAATTGTGTTGATAGTATAAATTGTATTAAGTGTTTAATTCATTATGCATTTTCAATTATAAAATATACATTAACTTATATAATAAATGAATACTAATAACAATATATATAAGTGCGGGTGCGGGGATACCTCCTCCCATTCCCGCGCGGGTATATAAATTCCCCCCCATACTCACACCCATTACCCAAATTATGCGGGTATTTTAAAACCCATAGGGACGGGAATGCAGGGAGCCCGTTGGGTACGGGTAGAATTGTCATCCCCAGGTGTCAATGGGGCAGTTGCCCCCATTACCCCCCTCCCCATCTCATATATATATATATATATATATATATATATATATATGTATATATATATATATATATATATATATATATATGTATATATATATATATATATATGTATATATATATATGTATATATATATATATATATATATATATATATATATATATATATATATATATGTATATATATATATGTATATATATATATATGTATGTATATATATATATATGTATATATATATATGTATATATGTATATATATGTATATATATATATATATATATGTATGTATATATATATACATATATATATATATACATACATATATATATATATATATATATATATATATATAGGGAAGGGATCAGGTGCATTTGTGACTTCCTGTGCGGATGTGCGGTGGATTAATGTGCGTGAGGTTTATACTTAATGTGCGTGAGATTTGTACTCAATGTGCCTGAGATTTGTACTTAATGTGCATCATGTTAATATGCGTGAGTTTTGTACTTAATGTGCCTGGGTATTGTGTTTAATGTGCGTGAGATTTGTGCTTACTGTGCGTGAGTATTTCAGAATTACGAGCTCAGAAGGAAGCAGAACAGAAACTCACGCACATTAACGCTCAAGCTTCTTGTTACTTCTTCCTTCAATTTGGCCATGGATTCTGGATTATCAACTACCTTCAATGCAGTTGAATGTTTATATAAATGACGCACGCACAGTAAAATTTGCACAGCATCTAAGTGTGGATTTCTCTTGTATTATTCCCATAATTCTTAACCACCATAGCTCGCCTCCACATCATCATTATCAGGGAGGGGGCAAATGGCTACTGGGGATGGGGAAGAAGCTGACATCAATATTTCTGCTGCATTTTACATATTCACGCACATTAAGTACAAATCTCAGGCACATTAAGCACAACACTCACGCACATTGAGTACAAATCTCACGCACATTAATTCACCGCACATCCGCACGGGAAGCATTCAACCGCACGAGAACCTTTCAATATATATATATATATATATATATATATATATATATATATATATATATATATATATATAAATTATAAGATGTTTAGCAGTTTAGGTAGTGTTGCTCTTTAAAATTTAATACCATATGTCATAAGATCAAAACCAACTAGCAACACTTCTTTTTTAGACATTTTTTAATTCATTTGAAGTTTAATTTGCCTTCACTGAAAAATCAACGGGTCCACCATGAATATGTAGTTTTCCGTATATATTATGTATAGAGTTGACCATATAATTATTAAAATTTGGATTACATTTAGGCTGCGTTTGAAAACTGATTTTCGAAAGTCATTTTTTGAGTTTTCAGTGTTTGGCTAGAGGGGAAAAATAGAAGTCAATGGAAAATAGGAATGTGGTCAATGAAAAATAGAGATGATTTTACGGAAAATGACTTTCCATTTTTGGGAGGGAAGTCATTTTCTGTTTGCACCAGTGGAGCAGCCAATCACCCGCCGCCGCCGTCACCACGACCATCGTACCACCCACCACCACTACCAACACCATCATTATATATTTTAAATATTTAAATTTAAAAATAATTATCCTCATTTTTAGAAAATGAACCAAACTTGCCAAGACAGTTTTCTGAAATGCAACCAAGCACGGAAAGGAAAAATATTTTCTTGAAAATGACTCATTTTCCAAAAGTCATTTTTTTACTTTACAATCACACTCTTAGGGTCCGTTTGGAAACCAGGAAAATGACTTCTGGAAAATGTTTTCTGGAAAATGAGTCATTTTCCGGAAAACATTTTCCTTTCCGGTGTTTGGTTGCATTCTGGAAAACTGTTTTTGTGTGTTTGGTTCATTTTCTGGAAAATGAGTAGAATTGTATAATTAAACATTTTAATTATTTTATTTAGAATATTACAACATGTATAATAATATATAATAATATAATATTAATTTTAAATATAATAAAAAATAGCTAAGTTTTTCAACAACAAAAAAAAAAAACTAATAATATATCAAAAATATTATGGTGGTGGTGGTGGTGTAGTGGTAGTGGTGTTATTCGTTATATAATAATAATAATAATAATAATAATAATAATAATTGGTGGTGGTGTGATGGTGGTGGTAGTATGACGATGGTGTGGTGGTGGTGGTGGTGGCGGCGACGGTGGTATGGTGGTGGCGGCGGCGGCGGTGGTATGGTGGTAGTGGTGGCGGCGACGGTGGTTGCGGTGGTATGGTGGTGGTGGTTGCGGTGGTATGGTGGTGGTGGTGGCGGTGGCGGCGGTGGTGTGGTGGTGGTGGCGGTGGTATGGTGGTGGTGGCGGTGGCGGCGGTGGTGTGGTAGTGGTGGCGGTGGTATGGTGGTGGTGGCGGCGGCGGTGGTATGACGGTAGTGGTGGCGGCGACGGTGGTTGCGGTGGTATGGTGGTGGTGGCGGCGGCGGTGGTTGCGGTGGTTGCGGTGGTATGGTAGTGGTGGTGGCGGTGGTGTGGTGGTGGCGGCGGTGGTATGGTGGTGGTGGCGGCGGCGGTGGTATGACGGTAGTGGCGGCGGCGGTGGTATGACGGTAGTGGTGGCGGCGACGGTGGTTGCGGTGGTATGGTGGTGGTGGCGGCGGCGGTGGGTGCGATGGTATGGTGGTGGTGGGGGCGGTGGTATGGTGGTGATGGCGGCGACGGTGGTTGCGGTGGTATGGTGGTAGTGGCGGCGACGGTAGTGGTGGCGACGGTGGTTGCGGTGGTATGGTGGTAGTGGCGGCGACGGTGGTTGCGGTGGTATGGTGGTAGTGGTGGCGGCGGCGGTGGTGTGATGGTGGTGGTGTGACAACGGTGGTATGGTGGTGGTGGTGGCGGTGGTATGGTGGAGATGGCGGCGACGGTGGTATGTTGGTAGTGGTGGTGGTGGTGGTATGGTGTTGATGATGTTGGTGTAAAAGTTGGAAAATGACTTCCCCCAAAAAAAAGGAGAAGTCATTTTCCATAAAATTGCCTTCCTTTTCCATTGACTTCCACCCCATTTTCCTTTGACCAGTCATTTTCCAATGTAACCAAACACCAAAACCCCGGAAAATGACTTCCAGAAGTCATTTTCCGGGTTTCCAAACACACCCTTAAGTTACTTCCTTATTAGGATTTGGAATAAGTAATACACCAGCCATATATACTTGTAATTATGGTTGTCATTAATGCACACTCATAATTGTAGTAGTCAAACTTAACAGGGTAGCTCAAGTGACAAATGAGCTTATTTTGTGGAGAAGAATTTCGGGATAACTCGGGTTCGATTCTCACAAGTGATGATCTCCTTTGGGCCGTTAAACGGACAGAGAAGACCTGGACCACAATGTGTAAAAACATTATAAAAGACAATGATATAAAATCATGCCCATTTTTTGTAACTATTTAAATAAAATTTTAATAGATTTCGGGGGGGACTTAAAGGCATAAATGGTCTAGCTTCTGGGGTCTTCCCCCTTCCCTTATTTTTCCAAAAAAAAAAAAAAAAAAGGCATAAAAGACTGTATAAAATATCATATAAAAGATTGTATTGTGCAATTTTGGGAAGGAAAATTTTAATGCAAGCATTTCTATTTCGCTTTTGACCTTCAGTGTGCAGTCATCCTAAGATAAATCTCAAATATGTAACATTTTTCTTTAACAAGAATGTAATACGTTTTTATGAGTTAAACAGATCGATATTAAATTTTTATTAATACTATTAAAGGAACAAGTAGTAATTTATTTGAAAAATGTAATATTTGTTGATTCATAAAAATTATTACATTGTTTAAGAAAGTATTACATAATTGATATTCCTTTAATATAATTTTTATATTGTGTTTGAATAAACTTATTCAATTAGCTTAAGATTTTTGAGAACTTATTTTAAACAAGATTATGCTAGGAATTTATTTTAAACAAGATTTTTGGTAACCTGCTATCAGGTGAAATTGTATACATTTAGAGTGTTTAATTGTACTTTTTTTTCGTTCAGTGGCCTAATTGCATTTTCAAATTACGTTCAGTGGCCAATTTGAATCTTATTTTTTTTTTAAAGTTTGAATGATGAAATTAAATTAATGAAAAAACTCAGTGAATAAAAATATGACATTTTAGAGAAAAAAATATTTTAAAACTTCTTCGAAATTCAATTTTCAAAGAATAGTGGACCTGCTTAGAAATTAGAAAATAAAGGACTAATTAAGTAAGAAATCTATATAGTATATAAAGAATATATATATTACGTAGTAATATAAATACAATTAAAAAAGCTTTTTATTTTTCTTTTTGTCTTTTTTTTTTTTCTTTCAGAAAACCCTACGCTAATGATCGAGTAGAAGTGTTCTTCTATGATTTTGTTTTGGTGGAGGAAGTGTTCTTCTATAATACTAACACTTGTTTCTCTCTCTACATCTTTATCTGATATGTGTACCCAATATTCTTCTGTTTCTTTAGCGGCAACCGGTTTTATTTTTTATTTTTTAAATTTTTTTCCAAGTATTCTTTAAAAGCCCCCTAGCTACCCCTCCCAACTCTTCATCTCTCTCACTAATACTCTTCTAATCACACCAATTATCTTCATGGACGGCAGAAAGGAAGACAATCTTGAATGGTGGCTGTTGAGGGATTCCGGTTTGTTGTCGGTGATCGAAAATCACAACCGGCTCCCAAGTCGTTTCGTGCATGTAACTCCGGCCGCCGGAAACTATTCCGGCCAGTCCAATGGATTTCAAAACCCTAATCTTAGGGATAGTGATAGATTCCAGGTAAATATAAACCACCCTGTAACTCCGGCCACTGGAAACTACTACTCGGATGGATTTCTAAACCCTAATATTGGGGATAGTGATAGATTCCAGGTAAATATAAACCCTGATCTTTCCCTCTATGTGGATCTTGAGACGGCGTTTGGTGGCATGAGCTTATCATCTAACCAATCCAATAATAATTTCCCAGCTGCTAGTTCACGTATTGGGACAGGAATGGGAATGGGCTGTGTATCCCCATATGGGAATTTGAATAGAATGGAAGCATATGGGCGTGGCTATGATAGGAATCTAACAATGAATAATGGTTTTGAGGGGGGTTTTGGTGATCTAAATTCAAATGGGTTTAGGGTGAGATCCAATAACACTGGATTAGTGGACTACAATTTGACTAATAATAATCTCAACAACATCTATCCTCCAACAACTCAAGATCATCAGCGTCGCTCTTTGTTGTTTTCGAGTTTGGAGGAATTGAGGGGGAAGATACCTTTGGTAGTGACTAAGGATCAACACAGCTGTCGTGTGTTGCAAAAAAAGCTGGAGGAGGGGAAACCTGACGACATTGAGATGATATTCTCGGAGGTTAAGAATCATGTTTGTGAACTTATGGTTGACCAATCCGGGAACTATCTCGTCCAAAAGCTTTTCCAAGTATGCAACCCACAACAAATGACCGAGCTGCTTGCCTTCGTCATCAGAGATCAGTGTCGGTTAATGGCCATATGCCTTGACATGCACGGGTATATATATATATATATATATATATATGGGTTTTAATTTGCTAACGTTGTTGTTCTGTTTGTTACATATATATATATATGTTGTCTGTATTGAAAAGTGTGAGCGTGCATATGTAGGACAAGAGCCGTGCAAACAATGCTGCGGCATTTGACGACGGTGGAGCAGAGGGCGGTGGTTGTGGCGGCTCTCAGGCACATCACGGTCACCTTGACCAAAAGTGTTAATGGCTATCATGTGATTCAGCACTGTGTCAAGTTCTTCTCCAATGAAGAGAAAAAGGTACTATATATTCTTTTAATTCGCATAGCTAGCAGGGAAACCCACAACCCTTTCGGGAAATTATGGAATTTCTAATCACCTGACCAGATCTTAAATCAAGTCGAAAGTTCTGACCCCGAAAAAATCTTTGTGGCTGCTATTTCCGATCACTTTTTGCATTCGACTTGATGATCATTTTCTGGTGGTTGGAAATTTCATAATTTCCAGGTGCAGATCTCTTGCCATCTTGCCCCGCTTATTAAGTTGCATTATTCTTAATTTGCATTTGTTGTGCAGCAAATTCTGAATGTTGTAGCGGATAACTGTGTGGACATTGCAACCGACAGGAGTGGGTGCTGTGTCCTACAACACTGTGTTGAAAACGCCGATGCACAATCTCGGGAGCGTCTTGTGGCTGAGATAACAGTTAATGCATTGGTTTTATCTGAACATCCTTATGGGTATGTATGTATGTATAGCCTTTAATTTGCTTGCTTGAATTGGCTTGATCTAAATAAAAAATAAATATGATGATCAGGAACTATGTTGTGCAAAACATCCTGGGGCTAAGGATACCGCATTATAGATCAGAGATAGTGAGACAACTTGCGGGGAGATTCGTTCATCTTTCAATGAACAAATACGGGAGCAACGTGGTGGAGAAATGCTTGAAAGAGTGTAGTAGTAGTAGTGGTGAGAGTGAGGCTCGGATCATCATTGAGGAGATCGTTTCCAGCCCTAATTTCTTGATGGTTCTTCAAGATCCTTTTGGCAACTACGTTGTTCAGTCTGCACTTGCTGTATCCAAGGTTCATTTCATTTCTCCACCATTAATCTAATCAAACAAACCTTAATTCATCAATTTCCAACACACATTCATTATAATATTCTTGAATGTTTTCTTTAATGATGCAGGGAGCGCTTCGGTTTGCATTGGTTAACATTATCAACATGCACTATCCGTCCCTGCACAGTCATCCCCACGGCAAAAGGGTTTTGGCCAAGACTACCAGAACAGGAAACAAGCTAATCTAAGCTAAGCTAAGCAGCTTATTAGTGTGTAGTATAAGTGCATGGCCGGGGCGATATATGTGTTGTAAGGTGTTAGTTGTTTATTCAGGGGCATTATATATACATATTTATATATGTATGTTGTCTGCAACTTAATTGTCTGTCTATGTTTAGTTTAGTGCTCATAATTATATTGCCTCTTCTTAATGGTCTGCAATTAGTTGTAGTAGAGCAGATCATGTACAATAAAGGGACTATTATTATTGTATAATCTGTGCTTTCATTGCCCTTGCTTGCTTGTTATTATAAACTAGGAATAATGATAATGTTCTGCAGTTGCTTCCCTTTTTATATATCAATTTTTCCTCATAAAAAAGTGAAAAGAAATGGAGAGTTGGAGAAACAAAAGTTGAGATTAATGTAGTTTCTATTTCTAAGAGTTAGATACTCCTTTTAGGGTTTCATTACTCCATTTTTGTTACTTTCTTTGCAGACCGGTTTCATGTCTCAACTCCCTCCTGCAAGGTACTGCCTTCATTAGTTTTTGTGATATTTGTTGTGTTAATTAGGGTACAATGAAAGAAATTTAAAAACAGATTTTCTCAGTTTTAGAGTTAATCAGCCCGTGTATCTTAATTAACACTAATTAAGGTGGTTACTAATAAACTAAAATTGTACTATAGATCTCCTCTCAACTTGAATTGTAGATATCCAAAAATTTGTTTGATCTAATTCAATGAATTTTGAAAAGGAAGTGCTAAAATCTTGGACTAATTAATTAACTTTGTGTTCACATTTTCCTTTTAAAAAGTATTTAGTTACATTGGATTAAAGATGACAATGTGGTTAGATACACTTGGGTTGGTATGAGCTTAGCCCCACATGCTATAGTGTTAGGCCATCATAACGATCTTCTATATTAGGCTGTGTCGTGCCACCTTCCATGTAATGCAATCATTGTACTATGGATCATAATGGAATCATTGTACTATGGATCATAATGGTCCAACATTGAAAATAAATATTTATTTGTGGTGCATACTGCATATTATAATTTGCCAATGTAAATATGTAATGTGGGTTGAGGAGGTCAAGTTGGGAAGCTAGGCTACATTACTTCTATCTCTTTTTAATTATTTAAATTTAAATTGTAACCCAAGAATGTATTGATTTGAATCTCTTTTACTTACAAAGTAAATCCCAACAACTTTTATATAAAGACTCTCACACACATACTAGTGATCGATAAGCATCTTTATATATTACTAATTTAAATTCACATTGCAAGTTTGTACTTATAAAGTATAAATTTTAACTTTATAAATGTATAAATAATATACAATTTTTTTTTTAAAAGCTACTGACTCTATTACATTGTTCAAACATGTAATAAATTTAAAATTTATAATTATAATTTAATTTAAAAAGTATAAGTTATAGTATATAGTTTATAATATTTTAAAAATTATTACTTTAAATATTTTAATAGATTAAAGTGGATTGTGTTAGGCTAAATTAAAAATATGTGCTGAGCTGGCACAACTGACATTAGTGTCAAGCCATATAGGCTTGGGAAGGATTGACACTAGGGTGAGTGTGGAGTGGATTGGAGCGGATTTGGGGAGAATCCGCTAAAGACGGATTTGAAAAATTTCATTTGCATCCGCATTAACATTTGCAAAGGGTGTGAATCCAATTCGATGTGATCCTCTAATAGAGGATTTAGTGGATTGGATGCTAATCGAATGACGGATTTTAAATTTAAAAAATAAAATAATTTATAAAACAAGATTTTAAACATTAAAAAAATCAAAATAATCAAACATTTTAGAAGTTGCTGAATTTTTCTAGACAGATTCAATGATTCATATTTACCCTGATTTTTGGTCATTTTAATCTCAAATGTAGGATTTTATGTCTCCATAAAAGTTGCAGCCTTATAAGTTAGCTTTTCGGTATAACTTGAATCATCTCAATTGGATCATTGTAGACAAAGATATGCTTAAAATACTACACAGTGGTAGCAGGCCATGAATGCATGTTTTGGCTACTTTCCTAATTCCATGTCTTGCTTTCCAATCTCCTTTTGATGATTTCCATTTTTTTTTTAACCTTCTTAAACTTCAAGACTTGATTTTTTCCAATTTCCAATTTGTTCATCCAAGCAAATTAGAAACCAATTTCTTTGTTCAAAAAAAAAAAAAAAAAAAAGAAACCAATTTCTTATTATAACACAATACAAAAATATTTCCAAATCTTTATTAGAAAAGTCCATGATTTCCAAATTCAATGATTGATGAAGTGGATACAGATTGGATCAGAGCGAATTTTACGAATTTTGCGGATTTGAATGAATTTTGTGGGGATCTTTGCTCACCCCTAATTGGCACCACATGACTTGCCTTCACTATATTGGACTAAAAAACCTAATTGGCATCGAATATATATAGAGTTTGTTCACCATGAAAATGGCCATCAAGAAAACACTAAACCGTAGTTTCTCAAAACTCAAATGGTCATAATGCCACCTTGTACTGTGTTGCTGAGTCGTCCATCATACCAAGGTTTGGAAGACTTGGAGTCACATGTGAGCCATCTCGGTCAGTGGTGCCTCCAATGCATCGGATCCCATGATACAAAGGTTCGGAGGACTTAGACGTACTCACAGGTGAGTCGTCTCAATCAATGATAGATGTCACCTTTGCGCATGGAGGAACCAAAAGACAAGAACAATGTTTTCTACTTTTTCTAAGGGCTATCTTGTTTTTGAATGGGTTACTGCCTTGACTTGCACAGGTATCGCACGCCCACTATCTCACTTCATTTTGCTACATCATATCATATCGTTGTGTGTTTTTTGTTTATTCTAGTTTATTTGCCTCCGTGCGTGATTTGTCAGTAGCCATATATATGCCGCCTTGACATGTATGCACGACTATCGCACGATCACTATCTCACTTCATTTTGCTACATCCGTTATGTTGTTGTTTATTTCTTGTTTATTCTAGTTTATTTTTAGAGTTTAGGGTTTAGTATTTTTGTCACTACCAATTAATTTGCGCCCTAACTTTCTTTGCATCTCTCCGGTTTCATGCCTTCATCTTGCAAGGTATGTACGTACTGCCCGCCTTCATTACTTTTTTCATTTTGCAATGATTGTTGTGTTAATTAGGGTACAATGAGCCAAACACCTTGTCTTCAGATGGCACTTTGTGGCTCCCCTTGAAGAATGTCACAAGATCGAACCGGTATTGACCCTTTGCGCTGCATACTTAAAAAAAATCTAGAACAGATACTACCTTGTAATAGAGATCGAGTAGAGTAAATAGTATTAAAAAAAAAAAATTTATGGTACAATGAATGAATTTTTTAAAAAAGATTTTCTCTATTAGTGTTGACTAGTGTTTTACCTGTGTGATGCATGGAATAAATTATGTTATTATGAATTTAAATAAAAATTTAGAAACAAAAATGAAAAGATGTTAACATGTATAATATAATAATAATACTTTTGAACTTCCATATATTTGGTCAGTGCAAGTATTTATTTTCATATCATACAAATTAAAATTAAAATTTTGTATGGTTACTATAGTCCCTAATCATACATGTAAATATTTAGATAAATTTATTGAGAAATTAAATCAATTTATTCATACGAAGTGAAAAAGAAATGGAGAGTTGGAGAAATGAAAACACAAAAAAAAAAAAAAAAAAGTTATAGATTATAATAAATATACTACATAGAACAAGAATTTAAAAATCAAAGTTGTCTTTTAATTAGTTTCTAATTCTAAGAGTTAGGTATACTCCTTAGGGTTTAATTACTCTATTTTTGTTACTTTCTTTTCCCAATTAAAAGGTTGAATGACTTGAACCCAAGGGCCTTCTATACCACGGTCCGACAGAAAATTTGAGATAATGTAAATCACGATAATTCAATGACTTAGCAGAACATTTTTGTTACTTTCTTTGCAGATTGGTTTCATGCCTTCCTCCCGCAAGGTACTACCTTCATTAGTTTTGCTTTCTTTTTCACTTTTTGTGATATTTGTTGTGTTAATTAGGGTCAATGAAAGAAATTTTAAAAAAGATTTTTCTCTATTTTAGAGTTAAGTAGATACTGTAGCTTAAATAACACTAATTAAGGTAGTTACTAATTAACTAAAATTGTAGATCTCAATTTCAATTGTAGATATCCTCATTTTCGCAAAATTTGTTTGTTCACGGTTTCCTTTTAAAATTGTTTAGGTGCATTAAATGGAATTTTAATTACATTGGATTAGAGATGACAATGTTATTAAGTCCACTTGGGTCGGTATGAGCTCAGTCCACGTCCAGACATTGTATAATATATTTTAATATATTTTTATGATTTTTTAGTACTTTTATTTAAGTGTAATAATTGGAAAGAGCCTCTAATGAGAATTGAACTCACAACCTTTCGCTTACAAAGCGAACACACTACCACTATGCTATGGAGGCTTAATGTTTGTATAATATATTCAGTTTCATTTTATATACACTGCAATTTCATTTTAACATAACTACATTTTCATTTAAACATTTATATGTGATCCATAGTATAATTTACCATGTTGTATGGGCTAGGCAGATCAAGTTGGGATTACATTTATATGTGATCCATAGTTTTTGTGATATTTGTTGTGTTAATTAGGGTACAATGAAAGAAATTTAAAAACAGATTTTCTCAATTTTAGAGTTAACCAGCCCCCGTGTATCTTAATTATCACTAATTAAGGTGGTTACTAATACACTAAAATTGTACTATAGATCTCCTCAACTTGAATTGTGGATATCCAAAAATTTGTTTGATCTAATTCAATGAATTTTGAAAAGGAAGTGCTAAAATCTTGGACTAATTAATTAACTTTGTGTTCACATTTTCCTTTTAAAAAGTACGTACTTAGTTACATTGGATTAGAGATGACAATGTGGTTAGATACACTTGGGTTGGTATGGGCTCAGCCCCACATGCTATCGTGTTGGGCCACCATGACGATCTTCTATATTAGGCTGTCGTGCCACCTTTCATGTAACGCAATCATTGTACCATGGACCATGATGGTCCATCGTACCATTGAAAATAAACAATTATTTGTGGTGCGTACTGCATATTATAATTTGCCAATGTAAATATGTAATGTGGGTTGGGGAGGTCAAGTTGGGAAGCTAGGCTACATTACTTCTATCTCTTTTTAATTAATTAATTAATTAATTATTTAAATTGTAACCCAAGAATGTATTGATTTGAATTTCTTTTACTTACAAAGTAAATCCCAACAACTTTTATATAAAGACTCTCACACACATACTAGTGATAGATAAGAATCTTTTACAAAGTAAATCCCACCAACTTTTATATAGACTCTCACACACATACTAGTGATCGATCCATAAGAATCTTTATATATTACTAATTTAAATTCAAATTGCAAGTTTGTACTTATAAAGTATAAATTTTAACTTTTATAATGTATATAAATAATATACAATTTTTTTTAAAAAGTTACTAACTCTATTACATTGTACAAAAATTTAAAAATTTTAATTTTAATTTAATTAAAAAGTATAAGTTATAGTATATAGTTATAATATTTTAAAAAGTATTACTTTAAATATTTTAATAAATTAAAGTGGATTGTGTTGGGCTAAATTAAAAATATGTGCTGAGTTGGCACAATCGACATTAGTGTTAAGCTATATAGGCTTGGAAGGATTGACACTAGGGGTGAGTGCGGAGTGGATTGGAGCGGATTTGGGGAGAATCCGCCTCCAATCTGCTAAAGGCGGATTTGAAAAATCTCATTTGCATCCGCATCAACATTTGCAAAGGGTGTGAATCCAATCCGATGTGATCCTCTAATAGAGGATTTAGTGGATTGGATGCGAATCGAATGGCGGAGTTTAAATTTAAAAAATAAAATAATTTATAATACAAGATTTTAAACATTAAAAAATCAAAATAATCAAACATTTTAGAAGTTACCAGGATTATGTGGTCTAATGGTATCCGGGTTGGACTTCCATTTGGAAGGTTGTGAGTTCGAACTTCAGTGGAGGTGTTATTAGCTCTTTGTGTTTCAGTAGGTTGAGAAGGTATATGAACAGATACTACTATGTAATAGTGCTAGTAGCATTCAAAAAACATTTTAGAAGTTTCTGAATTTTTTTAGACAGATTCACTGATTCATATTTACCTTGATTTTTGATCATTTTAATCTCAAATGTAGGATTTTATGTCTCCATAAAAGTTGCAGCCTTATAAGTTAGCTTTCCGGTGTAACTTGAATCATCCCAATTGGACCATTGTAGACAACGATATGCCTAAAATACTACACAGTGGTAGCAGGAATGCATGTTTTGGCTACTTTCCTAATTGCATGTCTTGCTTTCCAATCTCGCTCCTTTTGATGATTTCCAATCTTTTTTTTTTTTTAACCTTCCTAAACTTCATGACTTTTGATTTTTTTTCCAATTTCCAATTTGTTCATCCAAGCAAATTAGAAACCAATTTCTTATTATAACACTACAAAAATATTTCCTAATCTTTATTAAAAAGTCCAAGATTTCCAAATTCAATGATTGATGAAGTGGATACAGATTGGATCAGAGCGAATTTTACCAATTTGACAGATTTGAATGAATTTGGTGGGATCTTTGCTCACCCCTAATTGGCACCACATGACTTGCCTTCACTATATTGGACTAAAAAACCTAATTGGCATTGAATATATATAGAGTTTGTTCAAGAAAAACATTGAATGATAGTTTCTCAAAACTCAAATGGTCTTGTACTGTGTTGCTGAGCCGCCCATCATACCAGTGTTTGGAGGGCTTAGAGTCACATGTGAGTCATCTCGGTCAGTGGTGCCTCCAATGCATCGGATCCCATGATACAAAGGTTCGGAGGACTCAGACAGGTGAGTCGTCTCAATCAATGATAGATGTCACCTTTGCGCATGGAGGAACCAAAAGACAAGAGAACAATGTTTTCTACTTTTTCTAGGGGCTATCTTGTTTTTGAATGGGTTATGGCCTTGACTTGCACAGGTATCGCACGCCTACTATCTCACTTCATTTTGCTACATCATATCATATCGTTGTGTATTTTTTCTTTATTCTAGTTTATTTGCCTCGACGCGTGATTTGTCAGTAGCCATATATATGCTGCCTTGACATGCATGCACGACTATCGCACAATCACTATCTCACTTCTTTTTGCTACATCTGATTTGTTGTTGTTTATTTCTTGTTTATTCTAGTTTATTTTTAGGGTTTAGGGTTTAGTATTTGTGTCACTTCCAATTAATTTGCGCCCTAACTTTCTTTGCATCTCTCCGGTTTCATGCCTCCATCTTGCAAGGTACGTCGTACTGCCCGCCTTCATTACTTTTTTCATTTTGCAATAATTGTTGTGTTAATTAGGGTACAATGAGCCAAGCACCTTGTGCTCAGATGACATTCTGTGGCTTCCCTTGAGGGAAGGTCACATGATACTATCTTGTAATAGAGTTAATAGTATTCAAAAAAAAAATTATGGTATAATGAATGAGATTTTCTCTATTAGTGTTTTACCCATGAAATAAATTATATTATTATGAATTTAAATAAAAAATTAGAAACAAAAATGAAAAGATGTTAACATGTATAATATAATAATACTGTTGAACTTCCATATATTTGGTCAATGCAAGTATTTATTTTCATATCATACAAAATTAAAATTAAAAATTTGTATGGTTACTATAGTCCCTAATCATACATGTAACATGTAAATATTTAGATAAATTTATTGAGAAATTAAATCAATTTATTCATACGAAGTGAAAAAGAAATGGAGAGTTGGAGAAATGAAAAAGCGAAAATAAAAATAAAAGAGTTATAGATTATAATAAATATACTACATAGAACAAGAATTTAAAAATCAAAGTTGTGTTTTAATTAGTTTCTATTTCTAAGAGTTAGGTATACTCCTTAGGGTTTAATTACTCCATTTTTGTGACTTTCTTTTCCCAATTAAAAGGTTGAATGACTTGAATCGCCAACTCCAAGGGCCTTCTACACCATGGCCCGATAAAGAATTTGAGAGAATATAAATCACGATAACTCAATGACTTAGCAGAGCATTTTTGTTACTTTCTTTGCAGATTGGTTTCATGCCTTCCTCCCGCAAGGTACTACCTTCATTAGTTTTGCTTTCTTTTTTACTTTTTTGTGATATTTGTTGTGTTAATTAGGGGGCAATGAAAGAAATTTTAAAAAAGATTTTTCTCTATTTTAGAGTTAAGTAGATACTGTAACTTAAATAACACTAATTAAGGTAGTTACTAATTAACTAAAATTGTAGATCTCAATTTCAATTGTAGATATCCTCATTTTCGCAAAATTTGTTTGATCTTTTTTTTTTTTTTTTTTTTTTTGATCTTTTTTTTTTTTTTTTTGAAAATTTTCTGCGGTGCTTCATTAGAAAAATGCTGAAATAATGTCTGGTGGGTGAGTATCCCAGTACATCGTATCAGGTTGCTGATAAGCCGTAGTGGCTAAAGCATGAGCTAAATAATTGTCCGATCTAGAAATATAATTAAAAGAACATGAGTGAAAATAAACGGCAATTTGCCTGCAGCTACCAATGGCATAGCCAACGTAAGAGCGAAACGCAGTGGTTGATGATGTAAGGTAGCGTTGTAGTGTCAAACAATCCGTGTAGATCTCAATATTCTGTTCACCTCGATCCTTTAGCCATGATAAAACTTCCTTACACGCCAAAGCCTCAGCCATAAGTGGTGACGTACAGGCCGGTAGCGGCGCGGTTAGTGCCGAGATATAGGCTCCATCTCCATCTAATAAAACGGCCCCTACAGTTGCATTCCCTGTCTCGTGTAGATATCCCGCATCGACCCTGCATCTTCTCACTGGCGGCACAGAGGATCCGGCGGCGTCGGCAGCACCGCGGCCGGCGGTGGGACTCGCCTGGGCAGCGTGGCGGTTTTCTGTCGGCAGCGTAGCAGTGGCAGTGGCAGCCACGGCTGGGCGGGACTGAGTCCATGCGGTCTTGGCTGCCGCTGCGGCTCTGAGTAGGGACCCCGGGCGTGGTAAAAACGCCTCCCAAACTGCACCATTTCGAGCTTTCCAAATATTGTATAGAATTGATGCTGCATATAACATTCCATCAGAATCTAAAATATTTAGAAGTTCCCCAAACCAAACATGAAAAATATCCGTGACAATATTGGGGATTGTAAGGTTGGATTGATCCCAAATGTTTCTTGCAAAATCACACAAGACTAATGCATGCATTGTATTCTCATGTGATATCCCACACATAGCACAATATGGGTTCACCTCCACCCTCTTTAAAAGCAAGTTCGTAGTTGTAGGCAAAATATCACAAATAGCTCTCCAGAGGAACATTTTCCACTTTGGTGGAATTTTTAGTCTCCATAAAGCTAACCAATTAGTAA